GGGCTCCGGTGGTTAAGCACCGCCTCCCCTGCAGGAACCCAGATCAGGAATAATCTGGATGTAGGAGAGGATGGCTGAAAGGCCTTAGAAAAAGAAGATGTGCAGGTGCTGGTCCCTGGTCCCGGGAGAAAGGATGCAAGCTGGGCATCTCCGGTCATGGCTATCACTAGGAGTTGGAGCCAAGATCCTCGACTCCTCTCTGGCCTTGCACGGAGCAGCTGCCATCTGGGAGGTGGGGCAAGGAGCTGGAGGATGACCCATTTAGATAACGGAGGGGAGGTTAGGCCGGGCTGGGCTGGCCTGAGCAGAGTGGGGATGGGTCTGGGGGTGGCTCACCATCTCACCAAGCCTGCCAGAGAACCAGGCAGGGAGCAGGAAAGGGCTCTAGGAACGAAGGGAGCCTGAGCCGCCTCCCCTGAACCCCATGCCGCGCCCGCCCCCTCCTCGCCACCCTCCTGCCCACTCTGCCAGGTTGCCAGGCAAGGCGCTTCCCTGCTCAGCCCTCTTGTGTGGTTTGGCCAAAGCCCAAGGACAAGAGTCGCCTGCAGCCGGAGCCTCCCTCCCGGCTGCTGAGCAGGGAGGTGCAGGAGAAGCTGGGAGGGCAGCGTCACGCAGAAGAGGCCTTTGGCAGCCGGCCAGGCAGAGCCTTCCTCTGGGAGCTGGGGCTAAAGGAGAGGACTCTGAACAAAGCAAAGACCAAAGTAGTTTGGCTTAGGAAAGCTCAGCACAACCCCTTCTCTCGCTCAGGGCAGGACAGACCCAGGATGGGGTATCCCAGGAGAGGGGAGGGCCAAGCAAAGCCAGCCTGGCTGGGATAATGACACTGTGTGTGTGTCAGCTGCCGTGCTGAGCATTTTACATACATTATCTCATGTAATCTTCTGAGAACTCCACGAGGCAGGAATTATTATAATCCCCGCTACAGGGTCTGATTCCTTCATTGGCAGATGAGGAAACGGAGATGCAGAGAGGTCACATAGCTGGGAAGCGAGAGAGTCCGAATTGGAGCCCTTACGGTCTGAGTCTGAGCTGCCCAGCCTTCCCGACGAGGTAAAAACCAGGAATGTAGAGTAGTCCACCCATTCGGGATCCCTCGACATAGTCAGCATGTGTGGGGGTGGGAGTTAGTTCCCAGTGACTGTTCCCACCCTCAGCACTGCCTGGAGCTCTGGGAAAGGTGGCCCGGGCTAGCTGTTGGAATGACAAAGCACACGGAGGGAAGCCCGGGCTCAGCTCAAGGCAACTCCAAGTCCAAGACTCCTTGTTGGCCATCCATGGCCTGGGGTGGTCAAGTCAGGAGCCCGCGTCACCGGCATGCCATTAACCAGCCACAGGACAAACCCCATCGTCTCTCTGGGCCTCAGTTTCCCCAACTGTCAATGAAGGAATCAGACCAGCCCAGCCAGTCATTTGCAAACATTTTGAAACGCCCTGCAGCAGTCCAATATACAGAAGACACAGAAGCATCTCTGTCCCAGATCGCTATCCACTTGGACTCCCCTAATGCTCCTCGTGGCACCCCTTGGAGAGAAGACTGCCATGCAGATCACCCCAAAGGCTCTACCATTCCAGGGACCCACAGCAGGTGTTTTTCTTTTGAGGGGAGGGGTGGTAAGGGGAACTGGGAGAGTCACAGGAGGAAATGTCATTTGGATACCAGGAATGTGGTCAGAGACTAGAAGATCCAGGGCAAATATTTGTTTTTCCTTTGATGCCCTCCTGGAGTAGCCATTAGTCCTGCCCACCCACCCCTTCCTCTGGAGGGTCCCATCTGGCCCCTGATAATCTCATCTAAGTAGGCTGGGAAGGGGAAGTATGCTAGAAAGGTAGAGAGAATATTGGGATGGGAGTCACCCAGCAGGCTTTTCTCTGAATCCAGTCCCCACCAACAGCCTCTGTTGAATTGCCTCAGTTCAATGAACTGAGCCATTCCGGTGTCCTTCTCCCTCACAGAAGATCCTGAGGCACCAGGTCAGTCTCTCTCTCTCTCTCTCTCTCTCTTTTTTTTAATGTTTGTTTACTTTTGAGAGAGAGAGAGAGACAGAGCACGAGTGGGGGAGGGGTAGAGAGAGAGGGAGACCCAGAATCCGAAGCAGGCTCCAGGGTCCGAGCTGTCAGCACAGAGCCCCACGCGGGGCTCGAACTCACGAACTGTGAGATCATGACCTGAGCCAAAGTCGGACGCTCAATCGACTGAGCCACCCAGGCGCCCCAAGGTCAGTCTCTCTTAAGAGAGGACAGTGAA